ATTTCTTGTATTTCGATTGTGTCCTTGTCTATATTGTGTTGCACCCCGCATACTTAGTACATTCCAAGTACTAACGCATATTTTGCCTACATGATGTCACCATGTAGGGACCGGAGCTACTCTTGATCCTTCTCTCCATTCACGTGGCTAGTACGGTGCTTATCCGAGTTGTTGGTGAGTCCTCAATGATTCGAGGGCTATGTTATGTTTCCTACTCCTATGTTTTGAGACTTTAGCTTGCAATTGTATTTTGACTATGAGGGGAGCCGGTAGTATGTCATGGCCCCGTCCTATCTATGTATGTAGAGGTGTGCGTTGGACAAGTATTTTGTAAATGAGCTTGACTCTTGTTCTATGATGTCATTTTGAAATGGTTTGCCCTTAGTCCCTATTTCCCGTTAATTAATGTTGAATGTACTTCCGCGACCGATGAAGTGTGATGACAAGTTTGAGAGGCTTGTTTGGGGTTCCTTCGGGTTCCTCATTCACCATGTCACGTCTAGGCCCTAGGCTTGGGTCGTGACACTACACTTTGTAGTAAAAATAGAAGAAATATGGGTTAGCACTCAGAAATGTACTAAGTATGATAGCCATGCAAAAATATGCTTAAAATGGACATTTGGTTGAAAACCATGCACTATGCCAATTTTGAGTAACATCTTGAACTTTAGTACAAAATGCATAAGATACAAACATAATCAACATATAAGCCATTACATCACATTAGGACCATCACCTTAGATAACCCTAAGTTATACTTGTGCAATGTAACAATAGCATCCCATACTACTATTCCTACTAAGTACCACTTTGAGGCCACCTTAGATGAACTTACCATTCTTCCTTCTCATCTTTAGCCAATACTCATGCATAAGGAACATTCACATTTCATAAGTCATGACAAGGAAAATAACTCATAATACAATCCAAGTAAAGCATGCATCATTACATTAAGCATTTAAGTCAACATTCTCATTAGCTTCATTCAGAGCACATTCATTCATTAGACATTAAGACATTGGAGAATTACACCATAGCCCTCTCAAAGCCTACTTGTGCAATGCATGGATTTCATCCCATACTACCACCCACACTTTACAGAACCTCTTGAGAAACCATAGCACGTATCTCACATGATGGGAATAAGCATTAATCGACATAGACCATGTGAGATTAACATGGAATCCGATGTACTATCCCACATCGTAAGGGTTGGTCTACTTGCCTAAGATAGGACCGGTAACATTTTAGCTTAGGTGGATCCACTAGCTAATATCCTATGTGGGCACATAGTTATGGGGTAAGAAAGATGTTCATTGAAATCTGACCTAATGTGGGGAGAGCTTCAATCTTACCATATCCGCTCGATACTTAGCCTCCATTCCCATAGAGTAGTTCATTCACATTAACATTATTGTACTTGAGAGGGCTACCAACATTATGTCTACCGACCTAAAGTACATTACACATGAAAGGGCCACCACTATTAGGTCTACTAATTCAAGGTACATTATGAGGATAGGTCATTGAATCCTCAAGAAAGGGCCACCACATTTAGGTCTAATGATTTAAGGTTCATCATTTCACACGTAAAAGGGTTACCACCATTAGGTCTACCGATTCAAAGTTTAACATTCATTCATTCATTCATAGACTCCTCATGAAAGAGCTACCAACATTAGGTCTACTGATTCCATACAAAGCCTTACAATACTTCATTAGTCATTTATGAAAGGGCTACCACCATTAGTGTAACACCCCGGAAATCTAATGACCTAAGCTAAAGCCTAACAAGTGAACTAGTGTTTTAAATAGGGTTCGCATCAAAATAAGAGTAATAAAATGACCTTCCTAAGTTAGTACTAAAGTTTTAGTCCCTTAACATCAAGGCATGGCCCTCCTAGGGACCACCCAAGGGCCCTTGAGAAGGGCCAAGGGGGCTGCCCTAATAGCTGTCAAAAATAGCTTGGTCCATGAGAGAGGCACCCACGCCAGATGGGTGGACTCACGCCCCATAAGTGGGGGTCATGAGTAAATACTTATCTTCCCCTTGGCTCCCCTAAATCTCCAAGTTTTTGAACAAAATGATGCCTTGCCAGTACGGGGCTTCACCCCACCTATGGACCGTAGGTGGGGGTCGTGGGTTGAGACTTAGTCTCCCCGTCCCTTCCCTGATTTTACCCCTTCTCTGATGGAAACCATGACATGACAGCACGGGGCGTCACCCTACTTACGGTCCATAGGTGGGGGTGTCGTGAGTAACCCCAGAAGCAGTCAAGTGTCGGCCAATTAAGGGGTAAGTCCATAAATTCCAAATCAATTAATTATGGGTAGGGACAGTTATTTTTAGTTATAATAGACATATATAAGTACTTTTAACTATTAACCAACTCTTTAACACCTCATAACTCACAAGACTCAAAAATTAAAAATCAACTCCTCCCAAAAAATTCTCTCTCTAAGACTCCATTGAAGAGCAAGGTCAAGGTCAAGATAGGGGTTCAAGAACAAGCCTTTCTTCTCCAATTTCGTGTGGAATTCAACCTAAGGTATGGATGCTCTTCATTCTTGGGTAGCTATCCCCTAAGAAGTCCCTTCATAGTATGTTTTTAAGACTTCCAAAACCTAGGGTTTTCATCTAGTCATAGGTCTTCTCCCAAAACAATTTCAATTGTTTAATTATGGTTTATTATGATTAATTATGATGATTTATGGTTGTATTAATGGATTATTGTTGGGTTTTGATGAAAATCTCCTTTGGACCCATGATTTCCCCTTCTTCCCAAATTATGAACTAAGGTGTGACTTGATTGATCATGTAAACTTGACAATTGATTATGTTTATGTTTATTAAGTTGTTGAATCATTAAATTCCCTTATATAGGTGTTGTAATTATAGAAGTTAGGGTTGATCTTGATTCCTAGCCATGAAGGGCAATAACTAGGGTTTGGGTATGTTGATGAAGATTGTATATGAACTCATGATTCACTTAGGTAGTGATGAACTTATGACTGTTGTGTAATTATGGTATTTATGCAAGATCCTTCTACCCTATACCCTTTACACTTGATTATGAATGAAGTATGTATGTATGTTTCTGATAAGCTTGTTGTGTTAATTGAAAGGACATTTTCATGAACACACTATTAATATAATGTGAGATGTTTACTCACATGTTGATGATTCTAAGGTTGAAAGGACATGCTCACCTTATGAATCTATGAGCTAGTATGATATTATGTTGGTTGAGTGCCTAGTGCATTCTTTCATAAATATGAACTTAAGTAAAGACTAATATGACTTTTAAAAGGAAATTATGCTTAGCACTGAGCAAATATGAGTATGAGATGGTTTCTTTCACGCTAGTAGTTGGGTTCCCAATATGGTTATCTCATGAGATGGAAACCTCCCCGTTAGTAGTTAGGGCTTCTAGTAGAAATCTCCTTATCCCATAACTATGTGCCCCCATAGGTCTTTAGCTAGTGGATCCACCTAGAAGCTATTATGAAAGTTCTACCTTAGGCAAGTAGGACACCTCTTTCCGGTGTGGGGGTAGAACACCGGATTCCATGTAGGTCACATGGTCTATGTCGGTTAATGCTATTTTCCCTATATGATATGAATACAAACTATGATAAGAACATGGACTTTAATTATGACTTCTTAAGAGGCACTACTTAGTATGAGTGGGGGTGGGGGACTTCACTTATGCATTGCACAAGTAGACCTTAAGAGGGGTTATGGTGAGGTTATCTTATGTTATGAAGGCTTAAGAATTATGTATGAAAGGTATGTATGAATGTTAAGGTTGAATTCACTTGTTACAAGATATGAACATAAATGACTCCTTACTTATGTATGTTGGATATGAATAAGGTAAAGAAAGATATGTATGTTATTGGTGACCTAAATGTGGTACTTAGCATTTTGTAGGGTTATGGGATCTTACCTTTGCGTTGTACTACTATGGCTTTGGGTTGTTTATATGTTGGTTTGACTTATATTCTTCATATATGTGCATAATGGTTTCTAAACTTGATAAAGGCATGATTTCAATTAAATGTCCCTTTTATGCATGTTTTAAGGATTTTGTGCATGACTTTCATACTTAGTACATTATTTGTGCTAGCCCATATTTTCTACATTCTATGAGTGTAGGTTCCGATCGTTATGACGTACTACTTTCTTCAAGTGAAGCTTGGGTTGACTATTCCCTAGGCTTGGTGAGTCCTTAAGTTCGAAGACAAGATGTTATTATTTCTTAGCTTTTATGTACTTTCAACTTTTGAGACTTTATTGATGTAAAGGAACTTTGACCCTATTTGTACTCTCTATTTTACTATATGGTGATTGAGACAAGTCTAGATCCTTATTTTCATCTATGAAGAAGAAGTTGACTTCTATTGTAAACGTTTTAAATTTTCCTCAATTATTCTATGTATTTATGTTATGATTATGCTAAGGGCTTGTATGAGACCCCTTCGGGGTCAAGTACGCCATGTTACTTCTAGGCGGTAACCCTGGGTCATGACAAAATTGGTAATCAGAGTACAAGGTTATAGAATGATTCTATGTATTTATGTTGATTATGCTAAGGGATTGTATGAGACCGCTTCTGGGTCAAGTACGCCATGTTACTTCTAGGCGGTAACCCTGGGTCATGACAAAATTGGTAATCAGAGTACAAGGTTATAGAATGATTCTAGGATGATGTCTCATGAACCACGTCTAGTTCAGTCTTGTTCATAAGTGTGAAGCACGCCACACTTAGAATTAAAGGCTATAAGATGTTTAGGAACTTTCACTTCTTTCATTACCCTTTAGTTGTGCCTTAGAGTATTAACTCTATGAAGTCCTTTTCCTAACCTTTTCTTATGCATATAAGAATATGATTACAAGAAGGATGGAAGAGGAGATTGTGGATGAGAGAGTTTCTCCCTAATGTCCCCAAGGTCAATAAGGGCCTCAAGTTCCTCAAGCTCCTAATGATGAAGGGGCTATGACCAATGTGGAGATAAGGTCGGCTCTCCAAACATTGAATCATGTTATAGCGACTGAAGTCACTAGGTATACTAGAGCTTATGTGAACCCTAATGCAAGTACATCTGCTTCAAGGATTAGGGATTTCACAAGAATGAATCCCCCTATGTTCTATGGTTCCAAAGTGGATGAAGACCTGCAAGGGTTTATTGATGAAGTGTTTAAGGTGCTTGATGCTATGGATGTGTCTTCACAAGAGAAGGCGGAACTAGTCGCCAACCAAGTGAAGGATGTGGCCCAAGTATGGTATTAGCAATGGAAGGAAGAGAGACCCATAAGAGCGGGCCCGGTTGATTGGGGAGTGTTCAAGTCAGCCTTCCTTGATAGGTTTTCCCCCTTGAGTTGAGGGAGAGGAAGATGCAAGAATTCATCAACCTTCGCCAAGGAGGTATGAGTGTGAATGAATATAGCCTTAAGTTCACCCAATTGTCTAAACATGCTCCAACCTTAGTGGCGGACTCTAGAGCCAAGATGAACAAATTTGTTATGGGGATATCCGACTTGGTAGTCAATGAATGTCGTTCGACAATGCTCATCCCAAGTATGAATATTTCACGTCTTATGGTTCATGCCGAACAGATTGAAGAACAAAAGCTCAAGCAAGTGAATAGAGAAGTGAAGAGGGCAAGGACCGATGATGGGAATTCTTCTAAGGGTAAATTTGAGGTTAAAGGAAAACCAAGGTTCAAGAAGAGGTTTTCCAACCAAGGCTCCTCTAGCACTCCAAGGGTCAACAAAGATAGGGTGTTTAACCCTAAGCCACAAGGAGGTAATAGTGGTAGCTCTTATGTTTAAAGGCCTAGTTGTGAAAAGTGTGGCAAAAAGCATGAAGGCAAGTGCCTAGTTGGCATGGATGGTTGCTTTAGTTGTGGAAAGAGCGGTCATATGAAGAGAGATTGTCCCATGATAAGGGCTCAAGGAAGAGAGGGCAAGCAAGTCCCCCCTAGTGGCTCAAATTCCGATGCTCCCAAGAAGAATTGCTTCTATGCTCTCCAATCCCAAGGGGACCAAGAGAGTTCCCCAGAAGTGGTAATGGGTATGTTGCAAGTCTTTTCCATTAGTGCTTATGTATTGTTAAACCCCGGTGCCACTTTATCATTTGTTACACCTTTGGTGGCTATGAAATTTGAAGTACTTCCTAAAATTTTAGAGGAACCTTTTTCAGTTTCTACCCCGGTGGGTGACTTGGTTGTAGCTAAAAGAGTTTATAGGAGTTGTCCCATTTCATTGTCTCATAAAGTCACTTTGGTTGATTTAGTAGAATTAGATATGTTAGACTTTGATTTCATATTGGGGATGGATTGGTTGCATGCTTGTTTTGCGTCCATTGATTGTAGAACCCGGGTAGTTAAGTTTCAATTTCCAAATGAACCTACTTTAGAATGGAAAGGGGGGAATTCAAGTCCTAGAGGTCATTTTGTTTCATGTCTAAAATCTAGAAAAATGATCTCAAAGGGGTGCATGTATCACATTGTTAGGGTTATGGACGTTGAGTTCGAGACTCCTTCTTTGGAGTCGGTCCCGGTAGTGAGTGAGTATCTGGAAGTCTTTCCCTATGACTTGCCTGGTATTCCTCCCGAAAGGGAAATAGACTTCAACATTGATCTTTTTGCTGGATACACAACCCATATCCATTCCCCCTTATCGGATGGCTCCGACCGAATTAAAGGAATTGAAGGAACAACTCAAGGACTTGTTAGACAAGGGTTTTATTCAACCTAGCATATCTCCATGGGGTGCTTCAGTATTGTTCGTAAAGAAGAAAGATGGGTCCCTTAGGATGTGTATTGATTACCGCCAATTGAACAAGGTCACTATAAAGAATAAGTGTCCACTTTCTAGGATTGACGATTTTTTTGATCAACTCCAAGGGGCTAACTTTTTTCTCCAAAATAGATCTTCGTTCGGGTTACCATCAACTAAGGGTAAGAGGATGTGACATTCCTAAGACGACCTTTAAGACCGGTACGGTCACTATGAATTTGTGGTTATGTCTTTTGGGTTAACAAATGCCCCGGCGACATTCATGGACCTAATGAATAGGGTGTTTAGGCAATATCTTGATTCGTTTGTGATAGTTTTTATTGACAATATTTTGATCTATTTGAAGAGTGAGGGTGAACATATGGATCATTTGAGGGTTGTGTTGCAAGTCCTTAAGGACCACCAATTGTATGCGAAGTTTAGCAAGTGTGAGTTTTGGCTATGATCAGTTGCTTTCCTTGGTCATATTGTGTCGGGTATGGGTATTGAGGTAGACCCTAAGAATACGAAGGCGGTCAAGAGTTGGCCTAGACCTCTAACTCCTACCGATATTAGAAGCTTTTTGGGTTTAGACAACTACTATAGAAGGTTTGTTGAAGGTTTTTCCTCCATTGCTTCTCCATTGACGGCCTTAACTAGAAAGAAAGCCAAGTTTGTGTGGTCGGAGGCTTGTGAGAAAAGCTTCCAAGAATTGAAAGATAGACTTACTTCCGCTCTGGTGTTGACCTTACCGAAGGGTACCGATGGGTTTGTGGTATATTGTGACACTTCTCGAGTGGGTTTGGGATGTGTCCTTATGAAAAGGGGTAAAGTGATTGCCTATGCTTCGAGGCAACTCAAGGTACATGAAAAGAATTATCCAATTCATGATCTCAAATTAGCGGTGGTGGTGTTGCCTTGAAAATATGGAGGCACTACCTTTATGGGGTCCATGTAGATGTCTTCACCGACCACAAGAGTCTTCAATATGTGTTTAGCCAAAAATACTTGAATCTCCGACAAAGAAGGTGGTTAGAGATTTTGAAGGATTATGACATGAGTGTCCTTTAGCAGATAGGCAAAGCTAATGTAGTTGCGGATGCCCTAAGTAGATTGTCCATGGGTAGTGTGGCTCATATAGAAGATGAGAAGAAGGAATTGGCACGTGATGTGCATAGGTTGGCCCGGTTGGGTGTCCAACTAGTGGATTCCACCAAGGGTGGAGTTATGGTCCATCATAGTTTCGAATCATCCTTTGTGGTTGATGTGAAGTCTAAGCAACACCTTGACCCTATATTGATGGATTTGAAAGAATCGGTTCTCAACAAGTCCGTTAAGGCTTTCTCCCAAGGGGGGATGGGGTGCTTAGGTACCAAGGTAGATTATGTGTTCCAGATGTTGATGGCTTAAGAGAGGAAATTTTAGCAGAGGCTCATGGTTTGCGGTATTCTATTCATCCGGGGGCCACCAAGATGTACCGTGATTTATGGAAAGTCTATTGGTGGAATGGCATGAAAAAGGATATAGCGGGTTTTGTGGCCAAACGTCCAAATTGTCAACAAGTTAAGGCCGAACATAAAAAACCGGGAGGTTTTTCCTAATATATAGATATTCCCACTTGGAAGTGGGAGGATGTGAATATGGACTTTGTTGTGGGTTTGCCTCGTACTCGAAGGCAACATGATTCTATTTGGGTCATTGTTGATAGGATGATGAAATTAGCGCACTTTATTCCGGTCAAGATTTCATTTTCGGCGGAAGACTATGCCAAGTTGTACATTAATGAAATAGTGAATTTGCATGGGGTTCCCTTATCTATCATATCGGATCAAGGTACCCCATTTACTTCACATATTTGGAAGGCATTCCAAAAAGGGCTTGGTACCAATTTTAAACTTAGTACCGCTTTCCACCCTCAAAATGGATGGTAAAGCGGAAAGGACCATTCAAACCTTAGAGGAGATGTTGAGAGCGTGTGTGATTGATTTCAAGGGTAGTTGGGATGCCCACAATTGGGGAGGGGGGTCCCGATTCATAAATATATTATGAATTAATTTTTTCATAATACATCTTTTCTAGGGGTATTAATCTTATAATTTCTTTTATGTTTTCTAATATATACTCTATGTATTGTATGTCGTGAGTTTGTTGAAATGCTTCTATGTTTTCTTTAATTAAATTACTTAATAAAGTAATATCTATTATAGTTTGTTGCCAATATTCTAAGTATTCTTGATTTATCATTAATCTGAATATTGAATTTCTAAATCACTTAAGTTAAATTCTGGAATTTCATCTTCATACCATAGTTGATTCATTAATTCTTCTTCTTCTTCTTCGAATATTTGCTGCCATATTATTTGTTTTAATTCTATAATTTCTATGTTTCTTAATACATACAAGATTAGTATTTTATAATTTAATATCATTTCATCATGTAAAAGGATATTCATGATTATTTAACTATAATTCCCTCATACCATATGCATAACAAATGATCTATATTAGATTACTATAAACTAGATTATTTTAACATATTTTCCTGTCACTGTTAACATCGTACTTTCAAAGGTAATTACTTCCTAACAGCGCCTTCAACTTTGTTTACTCCCCACATGGCTTCCTCGCCTATGGTTTCAACCTTAGGACGGCATAGTCTAGAAGTTTTTCCTTTTTTCCTCATGTTAACAAACTAAAAAACATGCTCAAATAATTCTAGTATATAATAACTAATATAAACTTATTTAATTATGCTATGATATTCAGGAATTAATAGATTTTAGCTATGCATAATCATAAATATATGTACCTGTGTGATATCTGGATTATTTTGATCCATAGCTTAGCTTTGAAACTGATATATTTTTATTGAGAATATTTTTGTAGTACAAAGAGGCTTGCTTTTCGTGTAGAAAGTCTTGCCTATTTATGCCATAATGGCTATCTATTTATACAAAAATAAGTAACCTTACTATTGTTACTTTTCTATACTATGATTACTTTACATCTAACTATAGTAACTTTACATCTTTAATACTATTCATTCTTTTGTATATATTACTACTAATCTAACACGTTGCTATACTACTTTATCTAAAGTTCCACTAACTTATAGTAATGTACACACGTTACATATTTATTCCCACTAACTTTTCTTTCCACTAGCTTTTCCTATTAGGACAAACAACTTTTCCTCCTAAAAACACCTAGGTCTCCGGTTGAGTGGTGTGAGGTAGGTGAATTTGCTCTAATTTGTCCCGAACTAGTTTATGAGGCCATTGAAAAAGTTTGACTTATTAAAGATAGGTTGAAGACGACCCATAGTCGGCAAAAGTCTTATACCAATAATAGAAGGAGGGATCTAGAGTTTGAAATTGGTGATTGGCTCTACTTGAAAATCTCACCTATGAAATGTGTGATGAGGTTTGGTAAGAAGGGGAAGCTTAGTCCCCGATATGTGAGCCCTTATCAAGTCTTGAAACGTGTTGGGAAAGTTGCATATGAATTAGACTTACCAAATGAGTTGGCTCCGGTTCACCCGGTGCTTCACGTTTCCATGCTTAAGAAGTGCATTGGTGATCCGGTATCCATCGTTCCTTTAGAGGGTTTTGGAGTTGATGAGAGTCTAGCCTATGAAGAGGTTCCGGTAGAGATTTTGGACCGGCAAGTGAAGAGGTTGAGAAATAAGGAAGTAGCCTCCGTTAAGGTTTTATGGAGGAATCACTTAGTTGAGGGTGCTACATGGGAGGCCGAGGCCGATATGAAGTCCCGTTATCCTCATCTTTTTCCTTCTACTCCTATTCAAACTTGAGGTAAGTAATTTCTCTTGAGTTTTTAGTGTTTTTGGAGTCATGTGTATTGTATGAGTTTTCCATGATTTCCTTATGTTTTGCTTGTTCTTGTGAGAATTCATGTTTAGTATAAATTGAGTTTTCATGGTTTATATGTTCCTCATGCTGATTTGCATTTTAGTATAATGATTGCATTTTTGACTTCATAAGGTGAAATGATGAACATGCTTAGTTATGTTTTGATGAAATGATATGTTGGCTCCATGTTGTTGTGTTGAGCTTGATTGAGTTGGAGAAAGTAGTTCCTCCTATGTTTATGTGAATTGATGAGTTTCATGCATATTGGGTTGGTTGTTCTAGTTCCTACTTTCTTGCATTGCATGGACCATGTTGTGAAATGGAGTTGAAGTTTCCTCCTTTTGAATAAGTGCATAAAGTGAATAGTGCATTTGTGAGTTTTGCACATTTTTGATGTTTCATGCATAATGGACTGTT